AAACACTCGATCATGTCGTAATTATTTGAAAGCCAATAAATCAAGCCGCTCCAATGCGGTTCGAAGCCATAGGTTTGTTTCCCCGTACGGCACGTCGTAGCCTGTATTTCTACTGTAGTGCTTGTTTTTCTATTTGTGCTGTTCGCGCAAAGCTGCGATGGCCGCCTTGAATTAATCTCTGTAGAGAGGATATTCACTCAGCTGGAAGTGATGCCTCACGGACTGAGAAATCGCTTTTCGATCAACTTGAATGCAGTCAAAGCCGCGACTTGCGGCAGGTGTTAAGCGTGCGGAGCTACGCCGTGGCAAGCCCGAAAACTTCTAGCGCTCATCCCAGCGCGCCACTTGGAGGGCAGTTTCTCAAGGAACCGTAGTATATTTAAACAGCAAAATAAAGGGTAGCCTTTTTTTTTCTCGGTTTGACCTACTAATTTTTTTTTAATGCTAAAATATCACACTGTAAATACACGTACTTTTTGTCACGATTTCGTACTGTTGTCCTTGCCCCAGAGCGCAATTGCTCTCGGGGACGAGACAACCTACAGTCACATTGGCCACTGTACAATGGAAGCTTATAGTGTTCAGACCAGCGTTCCAACATGAGTATCCGCACGTTGATCGATTGCACGTAATTCCTCAAGTGGTATTAAACTACGCGAACACATGGTCACATCGGCGATAATTCCAGTCTTCTGTTCCCAACCCACAACACTGCCATCACGATGTTGCAGCTATGTTGCTGACACGCACAAATACAGAACCACGTTGAATACCGGTTGCACTAGGCATCGGAAAACAGAACCTAACTCAGCACGGAAGGCACCCAGGCAGCCGGCAGCAAAACCTGCCTGTCTTGGACGCAGTTCCTGCGGTTTCCATAACGTCGAAAACGTCGACGCAGTTCCGCGTGGTTTCGCTACTGTAGTTCCGTGCTGCGTGAGTCCCGCAATCCGGAGACGGCCATCCTACCCAGTGTACGTGGGCGCTGCTGGCACTGCTCCGGAACTTCGCTGTTTCTAGCGGCTTCTTTTGTTGGTTTGATAAAATTAGTGATAAAAACGTCAATGCAACCAAAACGTTCTTGACGTTTAGACTAGAAGACGGAATTACAGGCGGCCTTCGCTGCCGCTGAAGCTGAATCAACTCAACAGCTATTTATTAAACAACGTGCGCGACGTGCTCGAAAAACGAAACCGAAAGAAGATGAGTCGGGAGGGCGAAAGCTTTCTCCCGTCTGCCTGGAGAAGGAGAAAAACGTTTCGTTCCTTTCCTTTTCTCGTGTTCGCTTGGGGGCGTGTCAGTAGAAGGGAGGAAGACGCGCCGTTGCTACTTTTTCCACCATTTTTTCTTAGAGTGTAGGGCATGTCCTCGCGCCGAAATCCTGTGACGTAGTGGCGACTTTTCCCCAAGTTTCGCATGACAGGTTATGCAGAAGTTCCCGTTGTCATCATGCGATGTGAATCACAAAGGGGTAAATGGTACGGAAGAGCATGATCCGTCGATGGCAAGTGGCAACTGCAGGCAAGCAAAGATCAGCGAATCAGATGACATGTCGTATTGCGTGTCTTGCAGAGGGTATATCTGCGGAGGTCGGTTCATATATGTGCAGTGTTGACAAGTGAAGACCGTCTATATTGCCCGCTCTACACGGAGTGGGCTGTTCACCGCGTTTCACGGAATGCAGTCAGCAAATAACAAGGCCGGAGAAGCAATCTGCGCAGGGGCAAGGAACACAGCGTTTCGCTTGCTTGGTCTCCCTGCTGTGCACATGACCTTTTTGAGTCAAGCAATTCGTTGCACCTCGTCAATCGCTCTGTGCGTATTGTTAAAATCTATAATTGGTCCATCACGTTTGTCCGTAAAAAGTAAACACGCGGTTTGTATATATTTTTTTTATTTATTTATTTATTTATTTATTTATTTATGTATTTATTTATTAGTGGAGAAAGCACTAGACAAAAAGACCAGTCTCCTTAAGATTGATTAAGGGCTCCTCGTAGCTCACCCCATCCTTGCTGCCTCTCTCCGTCTCAGCTGAGGAGGCAGCTGACCGCCAAACAAATCTGTAATGCCATAGATTTTAGCATTCAAAGACAATTTCACCTAAAACAACTTCAAGGTATTTTTTTTCTTTTTATAAATCAATTATTTTGACTGCTCTGTAATACATTATTGTGCATCACCCTTGCATCTGCAGTACAATCAATTCATAATCACTCCGCTCGGTGTATACTTTGTAACTATCATCGTACAGCTAGTATTATCTCAATTAAAGCAACCTTTTCCTTGCCTAATCTCTCTCTTTGTAGAAAAACATCTATGTTATGTTTGCCTCACAACATTTACCATTCTAACTCAACAGTTTGACGAGCGCTATTTTTAGAAACATTTCGCATATCATTTCACACCAATTATCAAAGAAAACATAAGATGCAGCGGATCAGCATTTTAATGGCTTGCCCCAAAACCTGCATTGATTGGAATCGCCTTCCTGAAGTCATGGTTTCGATTACTAAAACAGCTGATCTTAGAATTGCAATTTCTAATTTTGTAAAATGTTTATAGTAATGCTGGTTTTTTTATCATTGTCTTTTCTTTTATATATTTTAGTGCCCAGCTCCTCTCTGAAATGTCTTGGTCTCTCGAGAGAAAGACAAACAAATATATGAACTAAAATGTCTTAGAAGTTTATATTTGTTTTAGCCTGATTTTTGGAACATTCAAAAGGCGAATGCGTTTATTTTGAGTCATTATTCTCATATCTGCCAGCAAAACCTATATTAATACGTTATTAAAATTAATAACTAGAAACGACGTCTGAAGAGATCAAAACGAAACGGGGAGAACATGATCAAAGCACACGAAAATGTCGTATTTTTTTTTCAGTCATTTATTATCACAAGATTTCCTTCGCAGAAAGATCAATCTACAACAAGTAACCCGGAAACTAAAAAGACCGAGTGTATGTCCCATATATTCGATGATTGAACGAAGTCACGGACAATGATTGGTGCTGCCCGCTCGAAGGCAGTAAACAGGGAGGGAAACAAGAGTCAAATTAAACCCAGTCCTAGTTCACGAATATAAGTGATGAAGAGAGCAGATGAAAGAGATTGCAGTGAACGGAATGGAGGGAGAGTGGTGGACGCAGCGAATCACCAAGCTCCAAACGCTTATTTCGAGCAAAAGTATCGCTTAGAAACCCCAGCTGAGGTAATTGAGTGGCTCTAGAAGGCAGCGATTTTAAGCTGGCTACGACTTTTTAGACAACCCCAGATAGGGTTGCCCCCCCCCCCCCCCCCCCCCCCCCCCCCATCCCCCCCTCCCGAGTACCCCTGAGTACTAACTCTTGAGTACTAACTCGAAACTAGGGTGCAGTCGAAAGAGGAAACGCGGAAGGACCGGGGCAGATGAATCGAGCGGTATATCGAGAAGAAGGAGCAAGAGCTGCGCAATGCACCGATGAAGCCGATTTGACGATCGTACAACGCGACTCCGAAGCTGAAAACGAATCGCCCAATAGAGCGCTGATGAACTTGCGGATGGCTGAGTGAAGGCTGATGGCTCGTCATGGCTGGCTGGCGTTCTTCTACTTTTTCTACTTCTTTACCTGTCTCTGAGGCCATATGAGGCACGTTCGGCGCTGTGGGCAGGCACGCTGCTCACAATATATATATATATATATATATATATTATATATATATATATATATATATATATATATATATATATATATTATATATATATATACATATATATGTATATATATATATATAGTCATATATATATATATATATATAACTGGGCTTGGCAGCAGCAAACCAACATGACGCCTAAACTGTTCTTCGTTCTCGTGCAGCTGCTGATCATGGCATCCCCGTGGCCAGTCGACTACAATTCTACAAGTCACTTCGTCCAAGGAAACAACCACGCTACAGCGCTGATTGTAAACGTACACTTGACGCGTGTAAACTTGCTGTCCTTAAATTTCACGTCGTATCGACAACCACTCCGCGTGAGCCCCAGAATTGCATCGTCAGAAGTCACCAGACCATCTTCGACTACAGCGCCAGTGCCTCCGGGGTATAAAAGAGCGACTGAGGCCAGCATCCACCACTGGGCTTGGCAGCAGCAAACCAACATGACGCCTAAACTGTTCTTCGTTCTCGTGCAGGTTGGTCAAATTGATTCTGACTCTTACAAAAGCAATAACATCTGTGTTTTACTGCTGCCAAGCCCCCAGGCATGTTCTGATTTCATTTCCGCTATAAACTCCCTAATCAAGTTGGCCTTGTCTGGCGATGCAGAACTGAACCCTGGGCCTACAACTCAGGAATTGCTTGTGCAGATTCTCGAGAGTCAAAACCAGATGGCTCAAGACGTAGCGGACATCAAAACGTGGAAATCGTCATTCGATCAAGCGCTTGCAAAACTTGATAATCGCTTAGATTCTATCGAACGGACGATTGAAAACCTGAGCATGGAAGTAAAGAAAATACAAGATTGCGAGGAGAAAATAACAGGTCTAACATCTTCCGTATCGCATATTGAACTGAAACTGGACGATCTTGAAAACAGATCACGACGCAACAACCTAATAATTTATGGTATTCCTGAGGTAGCTCAAGAGACCTTTTACGGTTTAAAAGAGTATGTAAGTGTGAACATCTTCGAAAGCATGCTAGGCGTCACGGTAACTTCCATCGAACGCATGCATAGGCTAGGGAAAAATCAAAGAAACAAAGCGCGACCAGTTATAGTGCGGTTTTTTGACTACAATGATAAGATGGCCCTCTTGAAAAATGTTACGAAGCTAAAAGGTACTAATATCGCTATTGGCGAAGATTACTCTGTTCGTGTACAGTCATTGCGTCGTAACTTATGGGAGAGCTAACAAACAAAGCTAACAACACGAATTGAAGAATTCGCGAAATTTAGGGGCGCGCGAAAATTTCGGTCCTTAAGATTTTCAATGCAGGCGTCTTGAATTCGCGAAATTTAGTGGTCCCGGTTATGTCATCTGTGACCGATTCGCGAAAAATAGGGGCCGCGAAAACAAAGTGTTTTACAGTACTTGCTGGTTATTGCAAGAGAGGCTACAGCAATGCTTTCATTACACAGGAAACGAGACGTTAAGCACATACCCACCACTACAATTGCATCGTTACAGTGAACCCAAGATAAGGTTTGTGTGCATATTGGTACAAATCAAACAACATGTCAGAAAACGAATTCAATTGAAAGTTTCTACAAAACAAAACAGAAAGGAACATACCGACGGAATTATTTCTGAGAGCTATAAATAAACGCAACATCACTTTGAAAATCTAAGACGCGAAAAAAAGATATGAAGAAAGTAAAACTATTTTTTTAACGTTGAAGTTTGGGCTAGTTGGTAAGTAGACATGATAAAAACAAAGTGCTGTGTCCTGTGGTTTCTTCTACTTCGTCCTTGTCTTTGCGCTGTTTTGTTTTTTTCATGTCTGCTCTTTTTATTGCTCGAGCTGAACACAAAACAGGTCTCCAAGAAACGGCTCACATCATCGGCGAAACTTTAAAAATAATTTGTTTTTTCACGTCCTGGACTTTATCGAAATTGCAATAACGCCAGCAAAGAAAGAAAAAAGATAAAAAGTTTACGTTAAACGAGAAAAAGATTTTTGAATCTGGCTTCGGTGCACTCATTGACGAGCTCATGAATGCGTAAAGCCCGCCTTGAAAAACTCACAATCGCCGCAGCTCAAAATGTTTCCGTACAGAAAAGACGATGAAGTCACAAAGAATCCGCGGCAACAGTATTCATTACTTAGAGTAGTGCGAATTTAAAATAACACGACGATGGGCGGAACCAGTACACTATTTGCGTTTAAAACCCGAACAGACACATACATTGGGGGGGAGAGACGAAAAGCCAGCAGCGGCAGCAACCACCGTGCCCCAAACCAGGGGAATAATTTCATTAGTCGGTGCAGACGCTAATTCGGTTATAGCTTAAGCGGCAATAACCCGGCGCCAAAGCGGCTAGGTCTCGGCAGTGATGATGCGGGGACTAGTGTCGATTGCTGGCGCGTCGGGGCCCGCTGCCTCGTTCCGGTATCGAGCCAGCCGTCTATTTCTTCGACCGACGCAATCTGTGGCCATGCCGATGCGTTATTGCTGCGACCGAACGGCCCGCATTAGTAGAGCTCATCTGGCATAAATGCGCTCGAAATACGTGCTTAGAAACTGCGAAGACCAGGACCCGCGCTTGCTAAAGCATTTGAAGCGAACATATATACTGGGCGTTCCTAAGAAATACGAGCCGTGTGTTTCGTCACGGTTAAAATAAAGCATCACAAAAAGATTAAACTTTGTGAGTATGTGAAACTAGCGGCTGGAATTGAACACAAAAGTAGAAGAACATGGCCCTACTTGGATCAAAAGATATTTGAGAAAGATGAGCTGACGTCCACCAAAGCAGTCAAAACAAGAGATGGCATTGTGGCTAACTGTAAAATATATTTAATGTAAAAAAGAAACTTTTTAGCAAGAAAGAATTTAATATTATTTCGGTGACAAGTTTTCTCTTTTTTTTTAATTCAAATAGCTTTTACAGGCAGCCACAATGTACATTCTTGTTTCGACAATATTAGGCTTGGGTGAAAGTCGGTCTATAGAGGAATTTCGTTTTTTTTTCAATTATATTTTCATCCAGGTAACGTCATGCTCTCAAACATTCGCGTTCTTATCCTAATCACTGGCGTAATATTTTTAAGGAGTTTGAACTCTCTGCGATGCATAGCTTATTTACTCAGGCCGCAAAACACGGTTTTCTTTTCTCGGGAACGCCCTGTACACCTTTGCAAAGTTTTTCGCGCCTCGAGAAATTGCAAGTCACCGGGATATAGACGCATGCGCAGCGCCTGATATTGCACAGGTGAGAGCTATAGTGCGCATACTCAGAACGCTCTTCACAAATAGGGACGCCTTTGTTGCACGTCGTCAGGGCGCAGTCACGTGACAACAGGGATCACGTGACCACCTACGTACCCTTTCCCACTCCATCCTCTCAGTTCCTGTTTTATAGCGCAGCTCTTAGGCGCCCGTTTCCGGCTTAGACGGCGTCGCCATCTACGTAACCATGGCGACGTTTCGGCACCATGCCGAACATCCTCTTGTCCCCCCTGAGAAGGGTCCTGAGGGAGGTCACGTGACCTCAAGGGGGTCACATGACCCCCTGAGGGAGGTCCTGAGGGGGTCACATGACCTCAGGGGGTCACGTGGCCCCCTCAGAGGGTGTCCTGAGGGGGTCACGTGGCCCATTTAGGAGGTCATGTGACCCCCTAAAGTCATGAGGGTCATGCGACGTCACGAGGGTCACGTGACCTCACGGTTACGCGTACGGTGACGGCAACGCCGAGGCCACTCGGAGTGAGGAGTAGCGGGCAGGATGAGGAGGTATATACGCTCCCCTTAGTACCTTTCCCTCCTCCTTAACTGCTGCGCTCTAATTCGGCGTTACAGTGAGTTGTAAACGGCTGTTACTTTTTATTTCCAGAACATTCTCCTCTCCCTAACTTCGGGGCATTTCTTTCCGCGTTTTTATCAGTATTATTATTATTAATAATATTATTAGTAATACTATTATTTTTTATACAATTCGCAATTTGGGCAGCGCGCTGAAATGCATGTGTGATGCGTGCGCTAACGTACAGTCGCCGGCGGCAGAGAGAGAGAGAGGTCAGAATGGTTAATACAGAGAGGTTAATCTAGGCTAATGGTCCTGGTTGGCTACTCTGTTTGGGGGAGAGGGTATAGAGAATTAAAAGACAGGAGAAAAGATAGGAGGAAGAGAGGAAACATCACCTAACGTGTCAAAAAGTACACACATATAGATCCGAGTACCGAAATCCCAATCATCTTCTAAAGGCAGATATTTATACGTGTGTCGTTTAGGAAACACAGAAGTACCTTTGAGGCCTTGGCTTTTTTAGGAGACTGTCTCAGGTGCCGAGCACTTTTCACAGAAAATGGTTGGTTACCGAATTGAGCAAGGGCATTCTTGGGGGACTCTCTTTCGATGTCGTATTTCGCGCAGTTACATAACACGTGAGTTTTTGTTTTGTTGCATGCGCGGCTTGCACACTCTGATGTTCCTGCTTGTCCGATTTTGCACAGGAATGACTCTGTATAGGCGACACCCAGTTGTAGTCGGTGTATCACTTCCTTAGTCCGCCCAGGAAGGTCTCGCGGAAGCTAGAATGAGAGGTTAGGGTTCAGTGCATAAAGAGAAACATAATGATAGGATTCGTCATGCAACTGCTTCTTCATTGCTTTGATTACGTGACGAATTATTAAAGAACTTATATCGTTCCGACAATGCGGTATTGTAAGAGTTGTCTGCAAGGTATGGCCTGACCTCGCCCCCGCATCTGCCACCTTGTTGCCAGGTAAATTACAATGACTTAGTATCCACTGATATTTGATAGATTGTCCTAGATCTAAGCGTCTTTTAAGAGAGCACAAAGTATCAATGATCAGCAGTCCATTCTGTCAGCGTCATAAAATTGCGGAT